TGCAGAAGAGTAGCTTTACCTCTGAATTGAACGATTGGTCGCACCATTAACAAACAAATATGTTTCTTGATTCATAGTTAAAAGGAACCCTGTGTGATGTAATTTGTGTTTATTATTGTAATGTTACTTGACGTCTGATTTGGTCTCTGGACACATAATAACTCTTAAAGCTTCCTCAAGCAAATACACATGTTTTCAGCACATAATTGGAGTAAAATGTTAAAGAAGCCCTCTCATGTTTTCTTCTGTAGTATATAGGTTTATGTGCATCTAAATGAACCCCCTCTCACGCCCCGCCTGAAACGGCTCTATTGTAATCCTTTGTTTACGTCTGTAACACAGTGAAATCACTAAACAACACTCCCAATTATTTTGACTAGCACTCCAACATATTTTACGTAAAAGGCTTGGGGCGGGACATCTCTAAGCTGGTTGACCAATCACAACAGAGCCGGCAAGCAAACCAATCGGAGCATATTGGGCTCTGGTTTCAGACAGAGGGTGAAAAGGGGTGCTGCAGCACAGGCAGCATGAGAAGAATAAAGAGCTTTTTGAACATTAAAGCATGGAGACATGTCCCAGAAGAGGCAATTAGTACAAATGTAAACCTGAACATGTTCATAAAAGGGCCCCTTTAAGCTATCGACTAAAGCTACTGTATGTAGTAGATGTCCATATGTACAGTTTTGCTACACACATCAGTACATACTTAATACTTCAATTAAACAGTTAATGTTCAAAATCATATTCTTGGTTCTTATTATCTACTATAGTTGTGTGTATTGCTTCAATGCAAAAAAAAAACAGTAATTAGTGCAAGTTGAACCCTTCAAGCATTAGAAGCTTAGTTCCACGCTTAACTGATACTTTGTAAGCCACAGGTTAATTTACCTTGAATAAACACTACTTGTCATGAGCAAACAAGGGCTTGAATATGGATGAGCCATTGCTTGATTTGTGATATGGGTACACTTTACCTCATTGTATTTGCTACTTTTTCACTAAATGTTTTCCGATTTCTTTCCCGTTCTTGGCTGGCTACATTGTCAGAAAATGTAATTCACCACCTGTGGATACAATAGAACTGAGAGGACATACAAGCAGCTGTTAGTGAAAACATGTCCCCACACTATCAAGTAATTACATTTTGTGTTGCTTCCCTTTTTTCTTGTGATGGATAACATTTCTTGATATATAATTTGCTGTACAAAGCACTCAAAACACAACATAATTACACAACTTATAATTTAGCATCAGCAATTAACGTGCAGTTACCGTCAACATGTATTCTCTTCAGCAATTGTCTTGTTGTGGCGTCTTTGTTGATCGGAGTGCTTCTGTAATTAGCAATCACAAAATCACTGCTTCTTCCTCTTGTAAGCCTTTGTCTCAACACTATAGCACCACACGGCTGCCAACATCTCGACATGTACACACCTTTAATAGGGCATTTAATGAAAGTTAATGGTCGGCTTTATGTCCGCAAGGGAACAGGCAAGAGGGAGCTGTTAGGAGATGACACCAGGCATCAATGGATATGACAATGTTTATCACAGTATTGCATAACATGGTCAGATATCCAAAGCGATCACTTTGTTTCGGATCCAATTAGAGAAATGGACGACATACTGGTCTTATCTTAAGGGAACAAGAGTTACTGACCAATTAAAATGATTAGTTAAACGTAGGACTGTGAGATATGTCCAAAATCTACCCTTTGGGTACGTATGCTTTGTTATCCTGCCAACAATGTTTATCACAATATAGCATGTCATTAAATTAGTCAATCAACAAATGGTTTACAGTGAAAACAAACATCTGTATGAATGTAATACTCGACAAATATACTGTGGCAGACAAATGAAACCATCTCCACAGAGTTATACACTTTAAATCCCTGGAAAGCCATATTGTCCAGTGCACATTTGAAATCAGTGTGCTCTTCCAGATTGTGCTGTCAGAGGCTCTCCAGGGCCCGATACTCCCAACTCCTCCCACCGGCGCCTGAGAGGTCATTACGGTAACCATAGAGATGTGGAGGCGGTGGTCTCTGGCGATGTCCGGGAGGCCCTAATTGGTCCCGTCTTGTCGATCGCTCTCTTCTCTTCAGCAGAAGGCCTCTTCATGTCATCACTGCCGGGACAGCAGAGCAGGACACTTCCTGTCTGCTAGGAACATGATGAGTCATTGTTCTAACCTCCCACATCTAGAACACTTCCAAAAACTGTAATCCAAAACTCATAAATGAAGGCAAATGTGTCAGAAACAAGAAGACAGTACTTTAAGTACATTTAAATATAAGTCTTATCCATATACAATATGTGATCACTACGGGTTTTTAACAAAAGCACCAAGTTACAATATTCAAACAAAAAAAAAGGTATTAGATACATAAGTGGGAACATGAATCATGTTTTTGACGAGTACTTTTCTGTAACCTAAGATACAAAATGATACATATTTACTAAAATAGCCTTTATAATTATGTGTAAACGTATTGCTCACCACTAAATATAATACAGATAATTAAGACATTGTTTGCGTTTGGTTGCCGAGTTAACCTTTAACCTCTGCTGTTGTTGTTGGATGTAAGAAGCTGGAATCTCCACAGTAACCATTCCTAGTGACTCTGCAGCCGTGTTACATTTACAAACTAACAGCATAAGCTCTTATGTATGCTGCACAACAAACCGTTTCTGGCCCAAATGAACAAAGAAGTCAAAACTTTACCCAAAGAAAATCTGTAATTCAAATGAAAGTATTCAGCTCCTAACTGAGCACAATGAGAGCCCTGTTCTCTGAGTGGGTGTGTGTGTGTGCTGCATATTTATTCCTCTTCTGTAGTCTTTACTCCACTGAAGGAAAACAAAACTTGCATGACTAATTCTTACAGTACATCACTCACAGCCTCACTCTTCTCTCCTCTACCCCAGTTATGCAGTGAGCCAGTAATATTTCAAACATGCTGCTCACTTCTGCCGGAAATGAGTGGTTTGCTCTTTGGAGATCAAGTCCATACTCGTAATTTCATATTTGCTAAATAGTTCTTTACAGCCGTGATTTCAGGACATCACTCAGTCAGACAGCTAATTCATTCTCTGTATTGATTGTAATACCCAGGAGCCCCAGCTGGGAAATATGAAGTGTCAAGTACTCATTAATTCTGGAGAGAAGTTGGCAAACATCATTGACTCATTCCATTACACAGAGTCCACATATCATTGACCTCATGCCTCATTGCTTTTCAAAGTGCTTAAGTTGAAAGTTCTGGTTTCCAGCTGTGAAAATGTCATTTTTTTGGTTTTCTAATAGTCCTATCTTTGTAGCAGGACCCCACTGTTTGAAAAAGGTTTTGCTGAATATCATGTTTTGTTGCCCACTTAAAGATAAAGTATGATTTTTGTTGATGAGAAATGCATGAAGCATTGCAAACCGTGTTTATTCATATGCACCTACATCAAAGGACTCTTTGTGCTTTTGTATGATTTCACTTAGCGTGTTCTTCACAACTCTACAGAACAGTGTGCTTGGAAAAAGAAAAGTGGAAGGGGGAGAAAATAATGGACACATTTTTCTTTTATGTTGTAACGTAAAGAGACCTTAATTGTGCTTGAGCGCGGAGATATTCTAAAGCTTTATCATGTGGCTGAGGACTCACACATTCTGCTTTATTCATGAGAAAATACCATTTTGTATATTTAGCTTGTTCTCCCAGAGGAGTATATGGTATGCTTTACATGAAAACATTAAATGTAAAGCATCAAATGTCATTTCTAATGTGTCAGACTTGATGCTATAGCACACATCCTAACATTCAGATTGCTCTGCTTTAAAATGTCCACTATATGTCTGTTTGTGACTCTAATGCTTACTGTCACACACTACACTTCACAGGAACCCCACATTGAGACTCAGCAACACATAAGGAACATTGTATGTGTTTCACCATGTTGAATTGATGTTAATATCACATTACTTGGTATTTGAAAAACAGAATATGTATTCAATAATATAGGGAACATACTGTATATGTAACACTATATGCACGGTTGGGGAAACAGGTGTGCCTCCTTACATCCTTGCAGGGAAGGCTGGGGCATTTTGTGATGTAGGATGTAAGATATTGCTGCTGGAAATGATATTAATTCACATTGTATGGTTGCCTGTAGATAAATCATCATACCAGCCTTTACTCAAACATGTTTTTGTTGTTTGATTATTTTTGGATGAGGTTACATATTGCTCCTTGTTCAGCTCACCTTACCTGGGCAGGTGGTAGGTTCCTGTTAGGTGAGGCTGACATTCAGAGGGGCATAGGAGGTGACAGTTTGCTTTAGGGCAGCAGCTTTCATTCATTGTTTAGTTTGTAATTGTTTTGCTGTGTTTAACATTTGACATGTGTTTGTCTGTTTCTGAAATAATGTTGGTAATAAATACCACAATTGTTTTCCCTAATTATGCTCATCTTCCTTTTTTAAGTTTTCTTGTGCCAATCAACATCCTCTGCCCTGTGATAACAACTACAATCAAATGCATTATTTCTTTAGATTTAACATTACTATATAATTGTGTTTTAATGTTTCTTAAAGCATTTCTTAAAGACAATACGGCAGTTAGTGATACTGTGAATATAGTTATAGATTGTTGTCGCCATGTCCAGCAATGACATATTTATTGAATGACAATATAGTGATTTACAGTATGTCAGTGGCTTGCATCGCTAGCAGCAATAACAAAAGGATGATTTATACTTTTCAGTGATGGGAGGTGGAATAAATAAAAACAGTGTAGCTTACTGTGACAGTTTAAATGTTGTTTGTTTTGATGTTGAATCATGATTTTACGATAGGTTGCTTTATTCTAGCCTCCCTAACACTGATATGTATACAAATATTATCTCGGTTAAGAAGTGTGAAATTAAAGCACTTGCTGTCTGAATTTAATTATCCTTGACAACAAATTGTTGTTCTCACAGGTTGTGTCTATGTTTGTGTTTACAGGGGAGCTGTATATCGGTGGTGTGACAAAGAGCATGTACAGCAACCTGCCCAAGCTCATCGCCTCCCGGGACGGGTACCAGGGCTGCCTGGCCTCCGTGGACCTGAACGGGAGACTCCCCGACCTGATCGCAGACGCCCTCCACAGAGTGGGGCAGGTGGAACGAGGCTGCGATGGTGAGTGGGGGGGGCACGTCACACAGAACTCAACATATCAAAGGCAACACACAATGCTTGTTAGCTCTATTTGTATGATTATCAATGATATCTATGTTCAACGGTAAGAACAGACAACAATTATCTCCCCCTTCAGTCACCATTGATATACCAATGATTTCAAGTTTTTTGTGAAATCCATTGGGTATTACTGTGTTCTTGCTTTTAGCTACAATTTCTCTCAGATAAGTCCAACCTTGACACAACTTCTCAGTAGGGCAGCTCCGTTTGAGAAGATGACAGATAATTAATTATAATGACAACAAGTCAGGAGTTGGATAGGAATCTACAATTTTAATAAATCTGTCATTTAGAGACGCAGATGGACAGCATCCATGATTTGATTGCTAAAATAATCAACAATATCTGACACTTTTTTTGTTAACATGTACTGATAAAGGTAAACACATTATTTTAAAGTGATGTATATCACATTAGAAAAGGGAGATTATTTGACATCACCTTGGTTCTGAGCTTTAAATAGTCACTGTAGCTTTGTTTATTTTTATTTACACCCATAACTTCATGGCCGTATTACACACCAGACTGCCACTTGCTCAGAGCTTCAGAAAGTCACATCCTTGCAGCCCAATTCTCGCTGTTTACAATCTGAGCCCCTGTCCTCTGTATATCCTCTCTATTGCCTCATAAAACCTGCATGAGTGAGCTATCTCTCTCCTCTAATGTTATTGTCAGTGCGGCTAATCTCAGCAGCACCCCACCCTCTTTGGCTTTTTCCTCAACAATCTTTTTTCAAGCATCTGTTTTGTTTTTTTGTTCTGCTGTATGCCAATAGCCACCATGTCTCGTGTCTGGGAGTCAATCCTGAGTATAACGCTGGATTTTGGCTTAAGCATTTCCCCCTCTACACACCCATGCCTTTACCCCCCCCTGCCGCCACCACGTATCGATGGCGTGCTGAGTGTCGGAGAGCACAGACTTGATTTCCCTGGGGGCCGCACTAGCCGACTGGATGCAGCACTGATCCAGCTTATTTTCTTTCCTTTTTTCTCCACCCCTAACGCTGCTACTCTTCCCAGCCAGTCTTATTACCTGCCTACAGTTACACACCACAATTACTTTGCTCTCTACACTGTTTAAACTTGCATTAAGCTATCATATTGGCTCCTGAGGCACCCAAAATGGATGTTAATATTAGCTAATGATTGCAGGTGCCAGAGAGAGAATTGACCAGTTTTGCAAGGGTAGACCTTTTTGAGAAGTAATACTTTACACAGACCTGGGGCTGTCCAATATAAATCCATATATTCCCCTGGTGATATCAAAGGAATAGATGAAAAACACATTTGACTACTTATCTAATATGCTTTGATCCTATTCAGACAATCATTTATCAATGTTTACAAGATAGTCCAATCAAATCGACATAAAATCTGTACATTTTCAACACTTATTTTCACTAGTTCTGGTTTATCTTCTAGAATTACAAAAGTGTTGGTGTACCAGAGTACAATTCATGAAGATGACTTTTATAAAATGCAGTGTTGTCCTGGGTATGGATCCGTGCCAGAGCCCTGAGCGACCTGGTTGTGAGGTCATTGTTTCCTGGAGCTGGGATGCAGAGTGGTCAGAGGTGGCTGCTCCGTGGACATAAAGCCAAACAAAGGGAAGCACAGGGAGCTGATTGTTGTTGCTCTCTACTGAATCAGCGGATCACAACAACAACGAACAAGACAGGGGGAAAGGAAAGGAAGCTGTGAGACAGAGATAATTGAAGTGCAGGTATATAAAAAGTGTTGCTGACTCACTGTAGCTGAGGAGGGTAGAAACAACCAAGTATGGCCAGAAATGTTTCAATATAAAAACATACTGCATGGTTCAAATAATACACAATTTCCTTAGCAGCTGTGAAGTTTATATTGTGTGTCTGACTCAATTTATTTTATCTAAGAAAAAAGCAAGTCCCAAGTCATGTTTCCCTTTATCAAAATAACATTCCCTCACTATCACTTGTATCTCATGACCCCATAGACCAAATTAGGCGCTTTCGCACCGGAGTACTTTTCCCAGGAATAGTTCCGATAGTTCCTGGGATTTTGCATTCACACCAAAAAGATCTGGAACTAAAACTTTTTTTTGCGATCATTAGGCGCTTTCACATTTTGCAGTACTTAGTTCCCAGTACTTAGTTCATCGGAACTCTTTAATGGAATAAGTCCCTGAGGGAGGATTAGGCAAATGAAGCCGCTGACGTCACTTCTTCTTCTTCTGCTTTGGGTTTACTGGCAGGCCACAAACAACTTCACGGCGTCCCCAGCCGGAAGTCCCCGGAGTTGGGGACTGGCTTCCCAGCAGCTTCTACTGAAGCCTTCCGAGTAAATCGCCAGAACGCCGACACCTCCTCATCACTCCACCACTCCCATGTTTTTTTTTGTGTTGCCATAAGTTAGTCTCTCTCCGTTGGTGCGCTGGCCTAATGCTAATGCCAGCAAATACAATGGCGGCTTCACAAAACTTTTCCGAGTTGTACGGGGCTTGTTTGCAAAGGTTTGCAAAAAAGTTCTAGTTCCAGATCTTTTTGGTGTGAACGCAAAATCCCAGGAACTATCGGAACTATTCCTGGGAAAAGTACTCCGATGTGAAAGCGCCTCTTTTCACCTCTTTTTAGTCCCTGCTAGAGAGCAGAGACTTTCCTGGGGAGAAAAAGGTTCCAATGTCTGATTGGCTGGGCAAATTGCAAACCACGGCCCATAAAACTCTGAAAAGTTTTTGTGAAGCCGCCATTTTATTTGCTCGCATTAGCATTATTAGCATTAGCATTAGCCCAGCGCACCGACGGAGAGAGACTAACTTATGGCAACACAAAAGAAAACAAGGGAGCGGTGGAGTGATGAGGAGGTGTCTGCGCTTCTGGCAATTTACTCAGAAGGCTTCAGTAGAAGCTGCTGGGACTCCCCAACTCCGGGGACTTCCGGCCGGGGACTCCGGGTGGCAGTATACGCCGTGAAGTTGTTTGCAGCCTGCCAGTAAACCTAAAGCAGAAGAAGAAGAAGTGACTTCAGCGGCTCCCTCAGGGACTTATTCCGGTGTGAACGCAATTTACTAGATAGTTCCAGGAAATAAAAGTTCTGGGAAAAAGTTCCGGGAACTATTCCTGGGAAAAGTACTTGGCCTAATTAGGTGCTTTCACAAGTTATAGTTCCAGATCTTTTTGGTGTGAACGCAAAATCCAAGGAACTATCTGAACTATTCCTGGGAAAAGTACTCCGATATGAAAGCGCCTAGCAGTTTTCAAACATTTCAAGGAGCTTGCCTGATGTTGTGAGGTTAAGGATGTAATTAAACTGATCATAGAACAACTATTGAGTTTTCCAATTTGACTTTCAATTCATTTATTTTCATTGTCATTCCAGTTCAGCCCAGCTAGAAATGTTTGGTTCTAAAAACATTCTGAGAATGTTACATTCATTGTTCTAGGAATGTTTTCAGCGGGAAGTTTTCTTTTGGTTCCCAGAACGTTCTTCTGAAAGGTAGGATAACGTTCTCTAAAAACATTCTTAAAGTGTTTGGTGATAACATTGTTAGAACATTATGCCCTACTGTTCTTAAAATGTTTTCAGCTGCAAGTTAGATTTGTTTATGTTGCCAGAATGTTATTATTTTAGAGACGGATAACATGCTTTATGTTTAAAACATTATGCAAATGTTCTGTGGTAACAATTTACTAAAATATCTTTACATTATTAGAACATAAAGACATAATATTCCTGTAATTGTTCAACTCAAAATTCCTGGGTAAGTGGACTGACCACTGTGGTCATTAGGATGATTTTGATAGGTTACTTAACTATTGGAATTTGAATATTAACACATGTAAAAGGATGACTCGGAATCAGCTGGTGAAAGTAACATGTGTTTATTAGAAAAGGGGAGCTGGGAGTGGAGGTTGGTTATGGCGGCAGTGGGAAACAGTTGTTCCAGGGTAGTAGATAGTGATGTTACGTATTGCGCCGTATGGCTTCGGAGCGTGTGTCGAGTAATCCCCGAAGCTTTTTGTGAAGCATGTGTCGAGGCTTGTATCGTTTTGGGCCAGTGACGTCATCGATGACAAACGAAGCCTCGCTGCCTGTCGATACCACGTGACTGCTTCAGGAAGCCATTCAGATCGGTTGAACCGTTGAACCACAACGCTCATAATACCAATGGATGTATAATAAGAACCATATTACCCCTCCTGTACCCGGGCCCGGTGACACGATGGAATCAAGAGAGCTCAGACCCTCACCTATATAGAGGTCGGAACATGTCATAAGTATAAATAGATACAAGCATAAATAAATGTAGGAAAAAAAACATGAATGAATAAATACAGGAATAAATATGTTACAGTATTTTCAGGGAGATTCAGCGTGTGTGCTGTGGCTCAGCTGGAAAGCAGTTGACTCACGATCGCAGGGTCTCTGGTTCAACGACTCGTCAATACGTCTTTTTTGTTGTTTATAAAAGCTACAGCTAAATGAGATAATGTAGTTAATAAATGTATTCTTTGATATGGTTTAGCCTTTCTCAGGCTACAACATGGTTACGTTTATGAATATTATTAAGGAATACAAATCCCTATTTGTAATGTTTACCAGCCTCCTTAGGCTTTTCAATCACAATCATTCAACTGGAATAAAAACAATATTGTTAACATGAAAATATGATTTAATGTTCGTTGTTTAGAGTTATTCTAAGGCTTTACTCATTGGGAACTCGGTATGAGAGAGCACACTGTTGAGATGTCCAATCTGCCTGTTTTACACACTTTGACCAACAGGGGGTTTGTGTTCAAATGAAGCCCATGATGAAGCCTCATGAGATGAACCCTTTTGCAAACCAATTGGCTGGAAAGCTTCAAAGCTTCATAAGGCTTCATCTCGCCATCACTAGTAGTAGAGAGGCCTGGCTGGTCTTGATTGTCTGGAAGGCCTTGGATTCCTCCTGGGAGAGACATAAAAATGAGTGTGAGGCAAAAGCAGGCAAAGTTGTCAAAGAATATGCTGGTAAAAAGCTAGCACGGCACGCAACAAACCGTTCACGGCAACAATCCGACAGGGAATGAGTGCAGGCTGCAGGCTTTCATAGTGTGGCTGATGAGCAGGTTGCAGGTGTGGTTGATTGGAGATTGCTCCCAGCCGTGTAGAGCAGACCAGCAGGCAGAGAGAGAGACACACAGTAGAAACAAACACATACAGGGGTTTCAGGGACGGGCAGTGACAGTCGGTCCGTTCCTCTATATGTCTGTCGGTCTCAAATCTAAAGGGTGCAATAACGATTTTTATCCAATATGCATAAACAGCGGACACTGTTTATACGCTGTTTATATATCAAAAACATCTTAAGAAGGTTATCACCAAACATTTCAAGAATGTTTTTAAAGAACGTTATCCTACCTTTCAGAAGAACATTCTGGGAACCAAAATAAAACGTCCCGCTGAAAACATTCCTAGAACAACGAATGGTAACAAACATTTCTAGCTGGGAACTCACACACGCCACCGCAAACATGCAATATCTGCTTACAGCTTATCATGAATTACGTGCTTGTTTTTTTTTTTCAAAAGGACAATATGGTGACATCAGATTTTTTTTAAACCATCCTTTTCAAACAAATGCAACAAGTTTGTTTTTTAAAGCGCTCTAGAAATAAATCTGACGTTGACCATGACCGTGTTAATATTTGCCATAACAGGAACGTTTTATAAAAAAAGAATAACATCCTGAAAACATTTTCAGAATGTTTCTTGGAGAATGTTCTTCATTTGTTATCATGTAACATTGAGGGAACGTTTTATAAAGAACATCTTTAATGTGTTACCCTACAACGTCCAAAACACATCCTTAGAATGTTGCAGGCAAAACGTTCCACCTTTGTTCCTTTAAGAACGTTTTATAAAAATACTTTCTGGCCTCTCAGGCCTCAATAACATCCTCAAAACATCCTCTGAATGTTGCAGTTAAAACGTTATGTCTTAGTTCATCTTAAACCTTATAGGAACATTATTTGAAAAAATAAACATCCTAAAAAGGTTCTTTGAACATCAGATTAAAACGTTTCTTTAAAACCTTATTAGAACCAATAGGTAACGTTAGCCAAAGTTGTGAGAACGTTCCCCGCTAGCTGGGAGGTCGCAGTGACCAAAATCTCTCATTTTCGTATTGGTATAAACAGCAGTAGCAGAGATACGATCACCTTTTGAGATTTGAAAAAGATACAAACCCAAAGAAAATTGGAAAAATTCCTGGGGAATTCCTACTTTAATAAAATATAAAATCACTGTAAAAAAAATATATAAAAATAAACGTTTGCCTTCTTCAAACATGTATTTTATTATGAACCAAGAACTCAGCTGGATCTGCAGTGGGGGGCCTCTACACTGCTAACATGTGAGCAGATGTTTCAGTAGTAACCAAGCTGTTAGATATTGAGCAGTATTTCCATTTGGAGCAATTAAAGCAGATGGAGTTTTATGCCCCAACAAATGTAAGGCACCTAATAACAGCTTATCTGGCAGACATACAAAAGGTAGAGTTTAACCAATGAAAGGTTAAAGTAACAGTAATAAAATGCGACATGACTTGGTTATTAATGATGAAAATATGCTTAATTAGCTGCTCAAGGGACCATTTTATTAGCGAGTAATTTGATGGGGCAATTAGTGAGGATAGGAATAGAACAAGCTGATAGAAAGAAATTGACATTGAATTCAAGTAAGCATTTTGGAGCATACGGTAAAAGCTCTGATATATTGGTGATTTTATTTCATTTTCTGCGAGTGTGGGGGGCTCGCCTTTAATTGGGCCATTTGTAAATGGCACAGTGAGATGTCTGTTTATCTGTGTGGAAACAAATTAGTCTGGCGCTGAACCATGGTCCTTTGGAAATGTTTGTGTTTAATTGAGATTTTAATGAGAATCCTCGCCCCCACCAACACAACAGCCACCACATACTCTTATTTTTAGACCAATTATCTTATACTAGCCTAATACTTCCTCTGCATTCTGATATTTTATCTTACATCCAGCCTTTACCACATCTGCTTTTCTTTACATTTCTTGTCTTATTTCATTCCCATTGCTTATAATAATACAGAGGCAAAAAAGGCACTTGGTCACATTTGTCCATTTTATGTCAGACCAATGACGAAGCCGTTAGTGCTGTATGTTTAATCACAAGTGGATATGTGAGTTTTCAAAGCAGTCTGTCGCATTACCTATCTGAATAAATGGCTTCAATTCCACAGAGAAATCTCATTGCTAGAGTTTCTAATTGACAATTAAAATATTTTCAGCCATTCATGACAGTGGGAGGTAACAACAGGATCCAGCCTCCCCCATAACACACACACACACACACACACACACACACACACACACACACACACACACACACACACACACACACACACACACACACACACCACACACACACACACACACACACACACACACACACACACACACACACACACACACACACACACACACACACACACACACACACACACACACACACACACACACACACACACACACACACACACACACACACACACACACACACACACACACACACACACCCAGTGATACAGTATAATGGGGAAGCTATTCAGTGACTGAATCCACCACTACTCATTTCCAATGCAAATATTCCCAGAGTTTGGCAATTACTGTACAACAAGTTCAACTTTGAATTAATGTCAAAGTGAATCTGAATTCATTTATAAGCAACACAAATCAAATAATTTTTAGTCTCTGGGAAAGCAGGTAATGCATTGTGTTGCAGTCAATAGCCGCTTTCACACCAAGTACTTTGCCGTACTTAGTTCCCAGCACTTAGTTTCCCCATGGAACTAAAGAGCAGATTGCGTTCACACCGGAATAAGGCCCTGGGGGTGGATTAGGCAAATGAGCCGCTGACGTCACTTCTTCTTCTTCTGCTTTGGGTTTACTGGCAGGCCTCAAACACTTCACGGCGTATACTTCCGCCCGAAGTCCCCGGCCGGAAGTCCCCGGAGTTGGGGACTGGCTTCAGTAGAAGCTGCTGGGACTCCCAGCAGCTTCTACTGAAGCCTTCCGAGTAAATCGCCAGAACGAGTTTTACGGGGCGTGGTTTGCAATTCGCCAAGCCAATCAGAAATTGGAACTTTTTTCTCCCCAGGAAAGTCCCTGCTCTCTAGCAGGGACTGAAATGTGGGAAAAAGTTATCATGAACTAAGTTCTCTTTTTTGGTGTGAACGCAAAATCCCAGGAACTATAGGAGTACTTTTCCCATACTTTTCCCAGAAATAGTTCCGATAGTTCCTGGGATGTTGCGTTCACACCAAAAATATCTTTTTTTCCGGGAACCTTTTCACCCCTTTTTAGTCCCTGCTGGACAGCAGGGACTTTCCTGGGGAGAAAAAGGTTTCAATTTCTGATTGGCTGGGTGAATTGCAAACCACGCCCCGTAAAACTCTGAAAAGTTTTTGTGAAGCTGCCATTTTATTTCCCGCATTAGCATTATTAGCATTAGCCCAGTGCACCAACGGAGAGAGACTAACTTATGGCAACACAAAATAAAACGTGGGATCGGTGGAGTGATGAGGAGGTGTCGGTGTTCTGGCGATTTACTGAGGGCTTCGGGTGGCGATTTACTGCCACCTAAAGTCCTGGACTCCGGGGGGCTCCGGGACTTCGGGTGGCAGTATACGCCGTGAAGTTGTTTGCGGCCTGCCAGTAAACCCAAAGCAGAAGAAGAAGAAGTGACGTCAGCGGCTTCATTTGCGTAATCCTCCCTCAGGGACTTTTCTCCGGTGTGAACGCGATTTACTAGATAGTTCCGGGGAAAGTTCCGGGAACTATACTTGGTGTGAAAGCACCTAATAGGTCTCTTAACTCAAGCATTTAAAATATGAGATTTTATTGTATGTTTTTACTCTGTTAAATACTCCATTAACATTATACGGTTAAAGGATTGATTCAGAAATGTTCAAGTCTCTCATAAAAAAGGTAGTCAGGTGTCCATGTGAATATTGAAGCAGCTTTTGTTTGGTATTACCATACCCCATGTGTATTCTGACCATTAGCAGATCCTTTTCTGTTGCACTCTCAATGTAAATCCACAGTTCTTTTGGACAAAAATTAAACTCTTATGGAGCCTCAGAAGTCTGAGTTAGGCAAATGGAGAGAATTCTCCAAAGCTCTAAGGCCTTTGTAGTGTAAGTTTCCCTATTGAGTTGCTTTGGAGGGATTGTTACAAGAGGGCCTTTTGTTGTTAAAAAGCCTGTAACTTTGGAAGATATCCACTTGATTTGTCTAAATTGGACTTCTGGAGTGTGAGCTTCAGATAAACCTCTGAATAAATGTCTTTGCTTTGAACCCATGAGAGAAACTTTAAATAGCCAGTATAAACAGGAGGGATGAGTATAGGAATGTATATTTAACTATATTGTCTTTCCTCCAGGACCCAGTACCACCTGTACGGAGGAGTCTTGCTACCATCAGGGGGTGTGTCTCCAGCAGTGGGAGGGCTTCACCTGTGACTGCACCATGACGTCCTATGGAGGTTCATTTTGCAACGATCGTAAGTGAAACCTTTCTTCTGACTGGCATGGTTTAACTGTGTATGGCTGGAGTGAGTGCTGCAGCTTAATATTTATTGGTGGTTTTCTGGCGTTAGGACTAGGTGAAAGTTTCAATATGTTATTCTGCTGTCTGTGTGGCACTGAGAGTGTGCTGTAACTTCTTCAAAGGTTTTTGGAAAACTTGTTACACATCACTGCCAACAAGTTAAATATTGAAATCAAAATATTAGTCAACAAGGCCTCATTACCTCCCTTCAGCAGGGAGTCCCATATTTTGCTGCACTCTACATTCACTCTTCTTTTTTGAATGTTCTATCGCTCGCACGACAGTCATAGTAACACCTCAGATTGTACGACTCAGAGTACAGTGACTGGCTGCTCTGCTCCTGAGGCACCGCTAACACACGCTGCGAGGAGAAACTGTGATTAAAGTCCTGAGTCCCTGCCATGTGCTCACCTGCTGGGCGGCTGGCAGCAGGAGAGTTCAGGAGGGATAGTATGGAGAGAGGGAGAAATACGTTTATTGTCAGTGGGTTTCTTATTTCCTAGATTGTATGTTTTATTTCAGTTTTGTGATAATACTCAGTTCCCAGTAAAGCTACATTGTATATTTGTGTACATTCTAAGGTGTGTACTAGGTGCATTGAAAAGCACTATAATTACAAATACAGCTGGTGAAACTGCACTGGACTGATAATAAAGATATGTTAATGGAAATACTGTGTTGTATAGATTGCATATGAAGCAGAGCTCAACATGAGCTTATATACAATTAGCATGCAGCTCTTCCCACAGGCTTGGTTTGAACAGGGCAGAGGCAGGGTGACAGGCTAATAGACTTGTTTGCATAAGTCTTTGTTTGCTTATTACGTATCGGGTGCTGAGTTAAGCTGTTTCACCCTCACACTTGCCTCTGTTTTCGTTACAACCACCCTATGGTTCTGTTGCAATGGAGTTTATCTTAAATTGTTGTCATGCTGGTTGCCATGTTAGCTGTGCAGCATATGATTGTGCATGACATTAAGGGGATGATTAGCAAGGTACTGCTTTGGTTCTTGGAAGAGTTGAAGTGAGGAGATGGCGATAATAGCGGCTCCGTCGGCATGACAGACATGCCGAGATAAGCAGGGAGAACCCCTGCTCCTTGAGAGAGGAGAGCACATGCTGAGAGGAGATGGCGTAATGATTCCTGCATTTCAGTTGTTGCCCGTTGGGAGTGTTCCCAGTTACCGAGATGGCTTCAAAGATGACAGGTAAAACTGTGCGGCACCGGGGAGAATACTAACATGTGTTCGGCGCAGAGACCTAATAGATGTGTGTCTGATTTGTGAGAGTGTGTAGAGTGGAGGGAAGGGCTTCACCAGCAGCCTGAAATCATGTAAATGCAGAGCAAACAAAGAATGATTTATGTAGGTTGATCTGTCTGGTTTAGCAGTCAGTTCTAAATTGCGTCTTAATATCACACATGAGAGTACCAACACTGACACTAGCTTATTATTGTTTTTGTTTCTGAACAGTACTGGTGATATGCTGTTTAATGTTCATTCCCCCCACTCTTTATCTTGCTATGTTTTCTTGGTTAGGGATTGCCATACTACAGTATAACACATTTGATGCATGAAAAGCACAATTATAGGACAATTAATGTGTACGAATATGTGTTATACCACAGTGTGGCAGTCTCTTTCAGAGTGCATGCCTGGCTATGGTTGGTTTCTACTGCCTTTCCTTCCTCACAGCATCTACACATTTTCCGACCTGCCCTTCTGTCGTCATCCCTGCCAGCTTGGAACTTTGAACACATGTGTCCTCTCTTGATCTTGAGAGCCTTCCACAAGTTAAACTCTTGGCTCCTTCTCTTCACCATATTCACTTTCTTCTCTTTGCCTTTCCGTACTTTCTTGACACACAAGCAGCTCTGTATCCTGGACTTGAACAAATGAATTGACAGTTATCTGAACCTGCCTTCCAACCTTCGGTGAATTTTCCTTAAGTCTCCTTTGAAATCTAAGGTAGGTCATTTGTGTATGAAACAGATGCTGCAGGTGTGGAGGATATTGCATCATATTTATTTTTCTAGTAGAAAACAGTATAATTGTGTGTTTTCTTCCCTCCAGTGTTAAATATATCTTCCCTACTATTCCATATGGTGTCATATATGTCTGAAATGGACGCCTTTGAAATGGTTTAATCCATTGTAGTATTGTAGTCGTAGAAATCAAATAGATTGCATCCTACCTTCATGTGTATGCATGCATAATGAGAGTGAGACAGGTGTACGGATTACATCTCGTTGTAGCTTTGCAAAGGGTATGGATTCATGTCATCAAAAGAAGGGGCAGCAATAGCCCAGTAAAATGAATCACAAAGAGCCAGCCTGCCATGTGACCACACTCTTTATCTCTCTCTCAGCAGCCATACTGTGAAAATGAAGTACTCACACACACCTTCTCGATAACCTGCAAGCACACACACTATTTGCCGACGTGTGCTGTTTATATTGTCTTTGACGCAGGCATTTGCTTCTCTTCTAAGTAAATTATTTTGCTTTTAAAGAATAATGAAAGACTTGAATAGAGTGATAGATCCTGCATTTGGTTCTCCAAGGGGAATTGTACATTAGCATAATTACTCTTCCACCATTGCTTACACTGCGGATTGAGGATGGCCTTCCTCCATGGCCATGATAGCAAAGCATAGAATGGGCCTCAGGTGTATACGCTGTAAGTGTGCTTGTGTGTGTGGACTACACTGCTTAATACAATATAAAATATGAAACACAGTTATCCACAGCCAACGACACACACTAAGTTTCTAATTTTCCTCAGTTTAAGGCCAGTCATCTGTTTCACTTTGGGTAGAAAGATTGTTATTATTTATGAAGGTTGATTCATAGTTGAATGGAGTAGAAATAAATATAAAAATGCTTCAATTTGCATAATTGTTGTAACATCATTGATCCATCCAAAATAAACAGAAGTCATTTGTCTTGTTATTGCAATAAGGTGGATGTCATCTCTCTCAGTGACAGCCAACACTTGATGATATCTGGAATACAAATAGTTCATCCTTTTGCATTGTATTTTTTATTATTAGAAAGTAGGTATTTAAGTTATTGGATTTCATATCTGAAGGATTGAATAGGAAGATGCATTAGTTGACCTTAACTAGTTGCTTACTTAACATTAGTTCACAAGTTCCCTATAGTTGTTATATTGTCCTTTGTTGTGCTCTATATATAAAGGTTCCCTATATCAATGACTCCAGGCTTATTGTTTAAACATAATTTGTTTTGTCTTTGAAAAGTCGCACATCATAATGCCCAGAGGGGAGGCAAAATAATGTGTGACATGTTGAGACGGTAGTTCTAATCCGGGATTATCCCGAGGTTATTCACTTTTGTTGATGGTGTTGATGAGGCCATGCTCAGTGCAGCTCTGACGTAGATTTCTCCCAGGTGTTATTTAAAGCAAGCTTCATGTTCGTTCCCTCCCATGTCTCATCAAAAATGCAGATTTTGCTTTCTGATTGCACTGTTGTTGTTTTTTTTATACTTTCCAAAATGCTTTCAGGCACAACAGTTTAAAATTGGTTTGCTAGGTAATCAATCAATCAATCAATGTTTATTTATATAGCCCAATATCACAAATGTTACATTTGTCTCAGTAGACTTCACAGTTTGTACAGAATATCAGTATGACAATACGACACCCTCTGTCCTTAGACCCTCACATCGTACAAGGAAAAACTTCCAGAGAAAACCCACAGTTTAAAGGGAACATGGGAGAAACCTCAGGGAGAGCAACAGAGGAGGGATCCCTCTCCCAGGACGGACAGACGTGCAATAGATGCCGTGTGTAAATTGAAAAGATAATACATTTTACAGCATATAGACCGAATGTTAGGAAATGCATGTGTCTGTAATAAGAAGATGAATCCACGAGGATGTCAGCTACAATCCTGTGGGAGCCATCAGGGAAGTAGTATGGTGAGAGTCAGGCAGGACCACAGTGATAGGTTCAGCCACGACTCAAAGTCCAGGACTCAAATCCAGAACTCAGGATTGAGGATCCAGGACGCAGGATCCAGGATCCAGGATGCAGGATCCAGGATCCAGGATGCAGGATCCAGGACTCAGAATGCAGGATCCAGGACTCAGGACCACAGCTACAGGATCAGCCACGACTCAGGATCCCGGTGTAGATAGACACCAAAAAGAAATTACATTACATTGCATTGCATTTAGCTGACGCTTTTATCCAAAGCGACTTACAATAAGTACATTCGACCAGGAAGACACAACCTTGAAGAAAACAGAATCATATAAGTACATCAGGTTTCATAGAGCCAAAACATTTCAAGTGCTACTCAACTGGCTTTAGATAAGCCAGTCCTTTATTAGTATATAAGTGCTTTGTTAATAGTTCTATCGCTCGAAGTGGAGTCGAAAGAGATGCGTTTTCAGTCTGCGCCGGAAGATGTGCAAGCTATCTGCCTGTCCTGATGTCAATGGGGAGCTCATTCCACCATCTTGGAGCCAGGACAGCAAACCCACGTGTTTTTGCCGATGGGAACTTGGGTCCCCCTCGCAGCGAAATGTGGGGGAAGCTGGGTTATTCGGAACATGAGAGTACACAGGTATACAGACAGAATGAAGAAGTAAGGTGTCCCCCGACAGTCTAAGCCTACAGCAGCAAAACTAACGTGTCTACGTACATGCACTCCCTTAGGATAGGGTGAGGGAAAGGGGTAGCAAGTAAGAAGTAAGGAACAGAGGTGGAGAGGCACAACGTGTCTGCGTACATGCACTCCCTTAGGATAGGGTGAGGGAAAAGAGTAGGAACTAAGATGTATGTGCCACATCTATACCATGAGTGCATTGCTCCTACAAAGTTGTTCTGGCACTGACACCAATCAACAGTTGTGCGTCGACTCGGCAGGGATCAAGGCACGTGTATGCCTCTCCCTGCTTCCACCGTCTACACACACAACCAAACGA